ACGCACCATTGCCCCCCCCCCCCTTTGAGCGTTCCGCATTTGCGGTATCCTTTCACGTGATGTGAGCTGTAATCCATAGTCAGAGTCTCAAACAGTGGGCAGGCACCCGCCGCTTTCAGTGCGACGTCCTTGGTTCGATGTCGCCACAGAGCATCCACTGCGACAGGGACGATTTTCTAGTAGTAGTAACGCGTTGATGAATCTTTGCAAGCTCCTGTCCGTCTTTCCCTTCTTGAATCGTCACACAATATATCTCAAACCCAACTCGCTCGAGCCATTATCTCTGTGGACGTATACTCTGAGAATCGACTGATGCTCACAATGACGTGCCAACCTTTCATCTACAACTGCATGCGCCGGCAAAGTGATCCACCCGGTTGACACTCCCCGGTGTCACTCGTCCAGATAAGAGCACGCGTATGCCGTGGAGAGAATTCAAGATCCATCTCCCAGGTAACAATAGCCCTACTTTGGTAAGCCCCAGGTTTCAGGTTCACACGTACTCGGGGGAGGCCACGGCTCATATGGAGGGAATCGCACACTCACTGCGCGACTTGCAAGTCTCATCTACATCATCGTCACTGTATCACTCGAAGTCTATCAGAAGTTCCAGGCGCATTTTGAATGCACGTATAGCGCCATCGTTCAAAGATCGGTGAGTGTTCTACCGGTGCTTACCGGGTCCTTCGTAGGATAAGGAGACGAGAACTCGCTCCATTCTACACCCTACCTCAATTATCATGTCTCCCTCCAAGAATGTTCTACGTGCCAATGTCCTTCGGTCCATCGAGGATGACCATCGTCGGGAATTAAAGTCTCGCGCAGGACCCATCGACCAGGACCTCGTGGCGTACCGACGCCGACTCTGCAAACGCCTTGGCCACCACCTTCGAAAGGATATGCAATGCTTCACAGATACGCCAGACGATGGACGCTGGTTCGTAGAAGTAAGCTCTTACAACCCTTGACGACCCGTAGTGGCTTACATCTTGCCATTGAATAGTGTCTCTTCGCTCACCCGGGCGACGTCGCAGGCGACGGTAGCATACACATCTACGTCTCTCGTCGCCTTGATGCAGACGTTCTGCAGGAGTTGAGGGACCACATGTATGCGCGTCGCGTGCATACTCAGCAGTTACTACCTTCCGGATCAAGCCCCGAGTATAGTGCTCGAGCCCGTTCATCAACCAGCAAGGACGATGAGCGATTGATTCGATTTAGGCCGTCATCAAAGAGTGCAAGTACGGCTGCGACCGCATGCAGGATGGCACGAACACCGCACTCTGGAAAGCCCTCGGTGCAACCTTACCCGTCTCCGTTCGACTCGCCGTCTCGCACTCTTCGCAACCGTATCGGATCGCCTATCCCCTGGTCATCACCTGAGACAAAGCGTCCTTCCGAGACTTCCTGCATTGAAATCATAGATTCCGACTCGGATACAACTTCTGTGCGTGCCCTGCATAGCAGATCCCGTAGTCCAAGCCTAGAGGTCCTACCCTCACCAATCTTGCACGAACTCTTCTTCACCGTATGGCTCTTCATGGAGGTGGGTACTTGAGTCACGTCACGTCTGAGCTACATCACTCATCGGATTGCATCTCTAACAGAACAGTGCACCGCCGCAGTCGCTTCGCCTCAAGGTTCTCCCTGGTACCAAAGTGATACCGTTCCAAGGCTACGACAGACAATGGGAGAAGACGGGGTTGAAGATCGCCGACCGAGTCAAAGTACTTGCTGCATATGAAAAAGGCGAACATCTATGGCAATTTGGTCGCTTATGCGATATACGCGCTCCTGTCAGCGCACGAGCGATCGTACTGTCCTCCATCGACGTAGACCGCTATCACGCGCGGCTGAATGTTCTTGTCCAACACGCCTTCACAGGAAGCTGTACGTTCAAATTCTTCTTGGCTGAGACCATAGACGACTGATACTGGCATCATGACAGTCTCGCACGCGATGCAGGAGGAAATCTGAGATGACGGAGAGGTTACAGGCGAGGTGGAGCTCTACCGGCGCTAGCGGGGGACGTCGGTCGGGCGGTAAACTCAGATAGTGTACAGTTCTCTGCCCTCCTCACGGCTAGTGCCAAAAGATGGGAGGTGTGCGTATGTGTAGCACTCATGTCGTGGTGGTGAGGGGCGCAGATGCCGAACAATCAGTTCTCGTGGCCGGAACCGGCTCGGAAACCCGCGCGCTGTTCTCACGGGC